TACGCTATGTGCAGTACTTGGGTGAGAGCTGGAGGTAGCTACAAAGAGGATAAGGTGGGAAAAGGTTGCGCAGCGGTGGAGTGTCTTCTGTCACCCTGTGTGTGCATCACCACAGGAGGTGGTAATGGGGGAGATTAGCAAACCTGCTAGCCTGACCAGCAGGTCCTGCCAGAATACCTGCATGAAGAAGGGATGATGTTGGAGGCTTTCTAATCTCCAGCAATTACTGGTGAGGTGGTATCCCACTCTCCTGGTAGGGAGCACTGTTCTAGAAAGATCATGGTGGGTTTTTTAGATGAAATACAAAGCTAAGGTCATGAACCTATGCGGCTACTGAAGAGCTGGTCTCCAAAACTCCTTTTGTAAACTTAAGAATTTTGTTGTCCTGATTACACTCCAACTTGGAGTAGTTTTATTTTATTTTCCTGAACCATTGTGTATTATCAGTTGGAGAAGACATCCTTTACTGTTTCCTCCTCAGAACTGGTCTCTACCATGACTGGGTAGGGCCCAATATTTTCTTGCATTTGAGTGTCAGATGAAATGATCTCTGCAGGAATGCTAAAAGGTTTAACCATCTGTGTTTACAAAACACTGTTTTACAGGCAGATGAGAGCACTGATTTGGTGGTTGTAGGTGGTGCGGTGTGTACAGTGTGCTGCATCAGCCAGTGAATTCTCATGCGTTACATTGTTTAGGAGGAAAATGTAATGACTGCAAGACAAAAGACAGACCCTTCCCAGTTTGTTTGCTTCTCCTGACTTTGAAATTGCTGCTTTGTTCAGATCCTTCTTGGCCAACAGCCTATAAATAGCTATTTATCCAGTAAATTTTTGCATGACTTGATAAATGCATGCTGGAATTGCAGGAAACTGGCTGTTTGTCATTTACAGTTCCTGCAACTTTCTCCTTATTATTCGCATTATGGAAGTTAGACTCCCACCAACTGAAACAGCTGCTAGGTGGGAGCAGATTGAGACTTCAGGAAGAATTGCGTCAGTACCTAACAGCCTGTTAGGCTTCCTATTAGCACTGCAGTAGGGTCTTGGGCTTTCTGGTAGATCTGGCTTTAGCTTTCTGCTTCATATTTATTTTGTAAAAGATTTAAAAACAAATATTCAGAACACAGAGAGCTCTTTGCACTAGCACTGAAATACATATGGGTAGGGAAATTGTATCCTTTACTTTTTTGAACTGATTTTTCAGAGCTGTGGGTATGCTTTGGCTTATATCAAAATGCACAATATATCCTTGCCACACTTGTGCACGTGTCTGTGGATGCATGTGTATAATCTGGTGTGTAGTTGGCTGATCCTTTGGCAAGTTCCTGATTTGCACATGCAACTCCTAATTTCAGTCCAGCAGATGCACACATGCATTTTCATCAGCCAGTCTTTGTGATTTCCCCAAAACCAACATATCTTGAGGGATAACAGAATTAGAAATTGCTGATTCCCAGTGTTGAGATCATCCTACTTCAATTGTTTGCCTTTTAGACAAAATAGTATTTTCCCTCTGGGGTTTTGCCTGCTTTGGAGATTGGTGCTAATCAGTAGAAACTCGGTCCGTGTTTGCTGGTTTAGTCTCCTTACAGAAGCATTAGTAAATTACCTTACAATTTAGAAAGAGATCAGCTGGTGAACTAGTGAGAGTGAAAACTTATTTTAAAGACCTAACTTTTGAGATAGGCAACAATTTGTGACATGCTGTTAGACCCTCCATTTTCCCCAGTGTCCTTATTAACGGAACAGTACCAACTTTCTTCCATGCATCCCCATCGCTACAATCTGGTGTATTTGCCACGTGTGGAAGGTAGGTTTATGATTGTAGTAATGACTGGTTTTGCCACAGTTCGTGGTGATTAATGTTTCTGTAGCAGCTCCACAGAATAATGCCCTATAGAAAGCTGACTACTTTCAGAGTGGTTACCTCAAAATAGCATCAAAATATATGAAGCCAAGGGTCAACTTGCCTTTGCTCCATCGGGAAGGGTCAGAGAAAAAAAAGCTGTCTTTTATAAGAAGCTGTCCTTGTTTTAGGCAACTTGGAAGCTCACTGCCGCTGAGGACATAGCATCCAGTTTGGAAGTGGTCAGCTTTCTAGGGAATGGTGGTGGTCAGTATGAAGCCACAGCAACATATACTTTTATGTGCCAGTCGTTAATGCACAATTAATGGATCATAACATTACGAAGTGGAGTTCAGTTACTTGTTACTGCTTTTCCATATATTCCGCATACCATACGTCCTGTGCAGGATGTTTTCACAGCCTTTTGTCCTGTGCTGATGTTTCGAAACTCATCTGAAAGCAGAGACCAGACTAAGAGGGACCTATACTTTATCCACTGCTGCTGACTGAACTGCCATTTCAGATTAAACATGCCTTCAGCATAGTGAATTTTAATACTGTGTTCACAAATTATTTACTGCTTACAATTTTTTTTAAGCAATTGCTAATACATTGTTAAAAGCATATTGCCTTCAGTATGGTTGGATTTTATGAAAAGGGAGAAACAAAAAGACTTGATTGTTTACTAAATGGTAACATTTTTCTTTTTTAGTTGACCTAGTACTGTGTTATCCTCTAAATTAATCCAACCCTGGTTCATTTTATTTAAAGATCCCAAATGGCCTAACTCTAACCTGTGTTTTTTGCATGGTTAACTAACGACTATAGGGGTAGTTAAGCAGCTTGGTCAGATGAGCTAAATACTTCTTTTTTTAAACTCAAACTAATGAAATACACGTAATGTATCACACACTTCTGTAGCTCACTCTGTTCGGTAGAGGCTTCTCTTTTACCTCATGGCTCTGCTTATCCCTGTCATCTTGGGACTAGTATCATGTATCAGTCTGAACATGTATGGTTGCCAAAGACTCTCACCTTCCGTGCTGTTCTTTGTAGACTTTTTAATCCCATTCCCCAAGGCAGTGAGGCTGTTCACATCAGTAAGGCAAGAAAGTCAGGGTTTTTCACTGTCAGAACCGTGCCAACTCTCTGACATACAGGTGTTATCTAAGCCAAATTCCTTAGAGCTGATGCGTTCCTATCAAGGCAAAGAAATTTCCTGTTTTTTGTTGGATTTAACTTCTGGGCCCCTTTGCACTTATCAGGTGTCAGAAAGAGGGCATTTGCCATGGATTAAAATCCTTCAAAAATGAAGTTTCTTCTTCAAAATCTTCCCCTGCCACTCCCCCAGGACATAGATGCATTATTGAGTTTGATGTAAGTTGGTTTAATTTTTCAGACATGAAGATAACACGCTAGAAGCTTCCTGTCACTTTCCTGCTAAAAGATGCTTTTTTTTTTGTTCTTTTGGTATCACTTTAAAAATACTGGATTTTTATTTCCTGGGCGCTGTCAGTGTGCTGGAAGGCATTTCCAATGTGCTGTTTACTCTGAGGGGCTTTGAAGGATGTTCCTATATCCAGCCGTATGTGAACTCCATAGATTATACTACCTACTTTTTCTTTTGTGATACTGAATGTAGCTGGATCAGTTCAGTTCAGGGTTCAAAATCAAGTTCGGCGTTGCCTGCGTGGCCATCAGGCTGGTGGGGTTAAGTCACACCAGTTTCTGTGAACAATGAGAAGACTGGAAACACATCCGCTGTGTTTGACTCTCCAAGCGAAGTAACCCAGCTCCTGCCTGCAGATCCACTGACTAAGAGAGACCTTGAGCACGTGGCCAGACCAGGACCTGAGCTCAGCCTCCAGAGTGACAGCGAAGAGCTCAGCGGCTCTGCCCGTGCATCCTGGTCCGACAGTGATACTGCTGCTAAGCCCAGTGTGGGAAAGGACTTTTATTTTCTCTGGGACCCACAGTGTGTCCAGGATGTGCCCAGAGTCTAAACAACAGCTGCAAACACGTATTTTCTTATCTCCCTTTCCAATCTTGGCACATCTCCAGCTTGAACAATAGCCATTGGATTGTCTATTTTCTGGCTAAAGGGAGACAATGGGAGTCAATATGAGCAAAGTTACTCTGTGTAGATCAAGGACAATTACTGTAATAAGAAGAGGACGTTTTCAAGGAACTCCCCTTCCAGGGAACACAAAGCCGCAAGGCCATGTGCCACGGCTCTTTCTCTGGAAACGTCAGCAGCTCCGTGTGCCCAGCACACGCTCCCCATCTGCAACCGAGCAGGGCCTGCAGAGCCGTGGCACTGTGCCCCAGGCTCACACCAGCACCCAACGGGAGGGTTCTTCGTTCCCTTTGGGGTTTTGGAAACTGGTCCCTTTCGAGGGCTGGGAAGGGCACAGACCCTAATGTGCTTATCTGTGTGCAGGGGAAAGAGAGGTGGTTGGTTTAAGGGGAAAAAGGGAAAAAAAAAAAAAACCAACAAACCCCCAAAAGAATGAAACCCTGATAATACAAAATTTAAAAATGAGGAATTAAAAGCATAGTAGAAAGAAGGGTTCACACCACTGCATCTGCCCTGCTGGCACAGGAGCTGGGCCAGAGACCTTCTGAGTGACTGAGTCTCCTAGTCACCCCTACCCATAGGAGTATAAGGGAATGATGGAGCCGAGCTGGGATTTCCTAAGCCTGGACAGGATCTGTCTTCCCGGTCTGGTATTTTAAAATGCTATTGGGGTGACCGATGCCTCCCCCCCTTCCCCCACAGCGTGTGCAACTTCTGGTACAAACAAGTTTGGGTGCAAAGCAGAAACACCCTTTTGCATGTATTTCTGGGGAAATGAATCCTCTTGGGGCTGTGAAAATGGCTCGGGATGTACAGCAAATATCTGCTGGTGGAAGCCTGTGGGTAGGAGGAGGGCAGGAGGTGAGGCCGGTCCCAGCTGCCTGCCTGGAGGCCAGCAGGGATGCCGAGCCTGCCGTGCTGCCTTGCAGCGCGGGGCTGGCGAGGGCTGCTGGCTCTCACGGGTGTTTTTCCGCACGGTGTCTGGTCAGGTGCTGGCTGCACACAGGGCTGGAGGAGCATCCACTCCGGCCCTGGACGTCAGCATGGGGAGGGGGAGGGAGCCCGGGCCGGCTCCGGCGCCGTTGCTGAGGCAGCAGGAGCCTCAGCAGCATCCCTGAGAGCCAGGCAAGCAAACTCCTCCTCCCTCCCGCTCTCATCTCGTCTCTCTCCCTGCTTCCTTTGCAAAGATGGCAACCGAGGGGCTGCATGAGAACGAGACCTTGGCATCCCTGAAAAATGAGGCCGAGAGCCTGAAGGGCAAGCTGGAGGAGGAGCGGGCCAAGCTGCACGACGTGGAGCGTGAGTGGGGCCGGGGCGCGAGGGCTGCGGG